ATATATATATATATATATATATATTTTATTTTTTTTTTTTTTCCTTGAAGCCCTGGGGATTGAACCCTGGGCCTCACACATGCTTGAAGCAAGTGCTCTATCAGAGCTAAACCCTAAACCCAGGAATAAAAGCCCTTGTTATCTATACTCATTCATATTTTATTTCTTATACTTCTCTATGCTATCTCCCCTTGACCTAGTACTATTTAATAAAGCATTAAGACTCTCATTTTTCCCTTGCAAAAGGGAGTTTCCAGACAATTACTGCATTTGGCTGAGATCCAAATAAAAAATCAGAGTCAGCTCTGAAGAATCAAATCGAGGTGATTATGTAAATGGCAGTATGCAAGAGCAAAATCTAGGAGATGCATGGTGAAGAGATTTTATTGAGTAAGTGGTTTCATTTTATTTTAGATAAATAAATGATACAAAGCTTTACATGCAAGGAAAAAAATCTTACTTCCTGCAGGCATTCATTCATTAAAAATTTAGAATTACCTAATGAGATCCTAGTTCACAACTAGCACAACATAATGCTCTATATGAGCACACACACACAAAAAATGTAATTTAATAGATTCCACTCTGTAGCAAATGGCGCTTTTGTTAAGGAGACAAGGCAGAAAAATATCATGAAGATAAATAAAACTATAGAGAAACAGTGCATCCACCTCAGCCCCCATTCGTTGAGCTATTTTGATTTTTCTTGACTCTCTGATCACACTGGATTATAGCTAAGGCTACAATTAATCACTTTGTCTTCTCTCTATATCCCCCATCCTTTGATTTTACCTCACTTTCATCTTTTCTATTACTCAAATCAGGATTCTTTTGATCCCAGGCTGTGGAGTTGGAGAAAAATCAAATCATTTAGTGTTCCGTAATCTTCAGCAGGTTTCAATTTAATGTTTACAGGTAATCTGAACATAGGCTTGGTAAATGAGGTAGGAAATTTTAACAACTATTGGAAAACCTTAGGTATTTAAACCCAGTCACTAAGAATGAAAGGTCCCAGAAAAGCAGATTACATTGAGACAAGGAGACAAAGTCTAAATTCATACCCTGGAGTCATTTTAACAAATACAGAAAAAACAGGAGACTTTTACATATATTTGAAAGAAATTTGTGCTATAAATCAGTTTGGGCAGACAGAGTAGACCAAGAATTCTCGCATATACCGTCATGGTGTCATTCGAGGCGTTCCCTTCAAGGTAAGGCTTGAGAGGGAGGAAATCTAATGGTACTATCTAGCATTTCGAATTCCAGATGTCTGAAACAGACTTGCACCGAGACGGCTCCACACTTCTTTAAAGGTGCGGGAAGAATTTAAAAATAATAAAACGCGAACACTTTTCCCTTTGATAACGCAGCCGGGTTGCAACAAAGCTCGTTTGGAGCCCTGAAATATCTCGCGATATTCTCGTGGCCCACTACTCCACCTCCTATGGCGGGAACATTCCGGAAGTGACTGCATTCTCTGCGGCAGTCTTCTGTCGGAAGTGACGTGAATATCCCAGAATCCTTGGAGGAAGGGACGCGCTTACCTGCGTTCCTCATGCAGTCCAACGTGGGACGTTTAGCCAGCGTGGTCTGAGTTTTCACGGGAAGGCGTGGACGTTTGTGCTCTAAGCTTCGGCTTAGCGGGCCTTTTTTGGCTGCGAAGTTGGTGGGTCTTTTTGCACTGGTACAAGAGCTCGTGGCGGGCTGCGCGGCGCCCTGACCTGGCCTCACTATGTTGGTGCTATTTGAAACGTCGGTTGGCTACGCCATCTTTAAGGTAGGTGGGAGATTGAGCCGTTGGAGGGGAAGGCCTGTATTGAACAAGCCAGAAGAGGGATAAAGGAGAGGCCGAAAGAACAGAGGATCGTGTGGATGCCTTTTAGGTCGCCGGGCTCGGAAAGGAAGTGAAAAGCCTGAGGGTCCGGTGTTGCGGTGAGCACGTGGCCCTGCCGTTTGGGCGACCCTTTCTGCTTTAGAGAATTTGGCTTAGTTGAAGAGGTGGACAGGAGCCGTGTTAAGGAAAGTTCTGTATTGTAAATTTAAAAAAAAGAAGGTTCTGCACTTATTTTAAAGAGATCGAGTTTTATTGGGTTCTTTGAGCAATGATGGAAAGCTTTTAAACAGAGGAGTAACCTGATGTAATATGTCTTTTGACGAAGGTTATTCTATGTAAAGACTATGTTACAGGGAGGGAAGCAAGGATGTATTTGCATTAATTAAAACAAGTTAAGATTGCTTGTGTTGAAAGTTATGGAGGGGAACGGTGAGGACAGGTAGGAACTGTCAGTTGGCTGATGGATCGCATGTGGGTTCTGGTTTAAGATGGTTAAGTATGAAGGCTCTTGGCCATGGCTGCTGGAGATTTGTGGATCTGGGGTATGTGAAACTTGCATTGTCTTTTAAACTTTTAAATTAAATTGTGTAGATGGTACACTTCAGAATTTCAGGTTTGAAGATTAGAGGAGAAATCTGAGCTGGTGATACCAATATGAGACTTGGTTGTTTTAATAGGAAAAGTTTGCACGGAAATGGTTTAACAGTGAGACATTTGTATAGTGGAATGTTATTGGGGTCTTAGAAGGAAAGAGCTAGGTTGAGTGCTCACCATGTGCTAGTCAGGAGCTTTTCAAATATAGCAACGAAAAACAGTTTTCATATTCTAAGTGTGTGTTGATGTAAGACAAAAGTGTTAGAACATAGTACAGTTTCAATTGTCAATCAAAAAACTCAAAAGTTTGTATTTGTCGTAGGAATCCGAAAGTACAGAAAACTTAACTTTTGACATTTGAAAATATACTTTTATGTGCATTTGTTATGTCAGATACTTATTTTTTTAAGGAAACCAATGAAATAATAATTTAAAGCCAAAATACAGCTTTGCTTATTTTTCTTGTCATTGGAGTAATCTGTAAGTAATTGCAGTATTAGCAATTTTAAGGAACTTTTAGAGCCTTCGTTCCCATTAGAGCTCTAAAATGTGTTTATTTTGCCTTTCTCCAGTCTTTTGGAATCTAGATTCTTTTTTTAGAATTCTGGATATGCCCTAAATTCTCTTATTCATATGATCTGTCATATTTTGAATCAGTGTCTATCAATGAGTCTGGTGGATTGATTTTAATGCTATTCTGAACTGGATGTTAGGAGGAAGCAGGTTTGCACAGTCTACTGGATCCCTCTGATTGTGTGAAAGGGAATTGGTTTTGCAACTGTCTGATTTCTAGATGTGGGGCATAAAACTAAAGTATACAACCTTGTCTCTTGATGAGTTTCTGGTTTATATTAATGGCCTATAAAAATAAGTATTTTGTTACAGTTTTCAATGTTATTTCTCTGCAAGTTACTGTTCAAAATTAATGTGGTTATTGTAACCTAAAATCAGGCTTGAATATAGAAATACTGATTATTTTATGACTTTTAGCATTAATATTAGTTATTGATTTCTTCTGAATAAAACAATGTTCTGAAGTTAAATAGCAGCAATGATCACAATTTTGTGAAACAAATTATGTACTTTCAGAAGGTAAATATTGTATAACGTGAATTATCAAAAAGGTAGATATACAGTACATGTTTATTAGCTTCCCATAGCCTTTAAAAATACTGGGGTATAAAGTTATATTGGTTACAAGAAAATTCCTGTTTTGAGAATGCTTTAAGAAAATTTTTTCACCTCAAATTATGTGGAATGTTTAATATACAACCCAGTGTACACATAAATTCTATATATATAGTAAAAGTAATTTCAGAAGTTTTACTACTCATTAAGAAGATTATATAGGGCTTGGAGGTATGTCCTAGGTGTCCTAGTACAGGCCTTACATTCAATTTCTAGTCACACACACACACACACACACACACACAAGAGTTTTTTTATATGTACTAATGCAAAGATTGTTATAGCAACTATTGTAGTTACTTTGGGGGCAGGGTACCAGAGATTGAACCCAGGGATGCTTAACCACTGAGCCGCATCCCCAGTTGTTTTTATATTTTATTTAGGGGGGGGTGGGCCTGGGGTTGTGGCTCAGTGGTAGAGTGCTCGCCTAGCATGCACGAGGCACTGGGTTTGATCCTCAGCACCACATAAACGTTAAAATAAAGATATTGTGTCCACCTAAAACTTAAGAATAAATATTAAGAAAAGAGAAACAGGGTCTCGCTAAGTTATTTAGGGCCTTGTTAAGTTGGTGAGGCTGCCCTTAAACTTGTGATTCTCATGCCTCAGCCTCCCAAGCTGCTGGAATTATGCCTGGCTATTAATTATAGTTACTTCTTTTTTTTTTTTTTTTTTTTAAGAGAGAGTGAGAGTGAGAGAGAGAGAGAGAGAGAATTTTTTTAATATTTATTTTTTAGTTATCGGCGGACACAACATCTTTGTTTGTATGTGGTGCTGAGGATCGAACCCGGGCCGCACGCATGCCAGGCGAGCGCACTACCGCTTGAGCCACATCCCCAGCCCAATTATAGTTACTTCTATTATTGCTTATAACTAATATAGTTCTAGAATGTTAACAAAACTCAATTTGTGTCACTTGGGGCACAGCATAAGATGAACAGACAGCTGTTAGTATTGCTAAGCCCAGGCCTTTAGCTGTGCTGTCCAATATAGTAGCCACTAACCACATGTAAAGCTTTCATGCTTGTCATATAGCTAGTATGAGGGGATGATTTTGGGGGGGGGGGGGTCAGGGGTGAAGTGGGACTAGGGAGTGAACGCAGGGAGACTGTCTCTTACATGCTTACAGCTGAGCTGTATCCCAAGACCCACGCAGATTTTTTAAAATAAAAATAACTTTAATTTTAATGGTCACATTGTATAGTGCAGCTGTATAGCATAGCATTCTGTTTTTTCATTTTCTTAGAACTTAGGAAAATTTCTGGTGCGCATACCAAATGCTTGTATACAACAAAATTACTGAGTAATATATTTTTCCAGCTGTATTGAATATACTTTGCATGCTATATAACTCACCTGATATGTTTGTTTGTTTTAGTTGTTGATAGACCTTTATTTTATTTATTTATATGCGGTGCTGAGATTCGAACCCAGTGCCTTGCACATGCCAGGCAAGTGCAGTACTACTCAGCCCCAGCCCCTCACCTGATAAGTTTTAGGGGGGAAAAAATGCAGTTGTGCCATCACCCCTGCATTCTAGGATGCTTCATCTCAGGAGCCTCTTCTGCCTATTTTCTTTTTTTAAAAGTTTTTTTTTTTTTTAGATACACATGACAGTATATTTTGATATAGTATACATACATGGAGTACTGCCCATTCCAGTTAGGATCCCATTCTTGTAGTTATCCATGATGATGAGGAGTTTCACTGGTGGTTTATTCACATGGGAAAGTTATGTCTGATCCATTCTATTGCCTTTCATATTCTTATCCCCCATCCTCCTTCTGTGTTGGCGTCTGCATGTCAGAGAGAACATCCATCCTTTGGTTTTTTGGGGATTGGCTTATTTCACTTAGCATGATAGTTTCCATTTCCATCCATTTACTGACAGAAGTTATAAAGCCATTCTTTTTTATGGCTGAGCAATATTCCATCGTGTGTATATATACCACATTTTATTCATTCATCTGATGAAGGGTGCCTAGATTGGTTCCATAGTTTAGCTGTTGTGAATTGAGCTGCTATAAACATTGATGTGGCTGTGTCATTGTAGTATGCTGATTTTCTATATTAAGGAGTGGGACAACTGGGTCAAATGGTGGTTCCATTTCAGTTTTTCTGAGGAATCTCCATACTGCTTTCCAGAGTACACCCACCAGCAGTGTATGAGTGTACGTACCATTTTCCCCACATCCTCACCAACATTTATTGTTATTGTATTCTTGATAATTGCCATTCTGATTGGAGTGAGATGGGATCTATCTTCTGCATATTTTCAAGTTGATCCCAGCTGTAGGCAACCAGTGATCGGCTTTCTGTTTGTATAATTTTGTGATTTCATGTAAATGCAGTAGTATTTTAATCGTTGTGTTTGGCTTTTTGCACTTGGCATAATGCTTTTGAAGTTATTCATGTTGCATGTATCAGTTGGTACCTTTTTTTAAAATTTATTTTTAGTTGTTGATAGACCTTTATTTATTTATTTATATGTGGTGCTAGAATCAAACCCAGTGCCTTACACATGCCAGGCAAGTGTGCTACCGCTGAGCCCCAGTCCCAGCCCCCCAATTGGTACTTTTTTGAGTAATTTACATCTTACACTATTAAATTATTGATTTATCTTGTACACAAACAAGTTTCATAAAACATTACTTGTCCATGTTGTCTGTGATGAAGCAAAACTTTAAAAAATACCATCAACTATCAAGTAAAATAGAAAATCCCAAATAATAAGAAATGCAAATTAAGATAGTTTTTGGTGTACTGGCACTCTTTCCTAGTCAGAGATTATTTTTTGTCTGGAATAGAAAAGGATGCTCTGGTCATTTCTGGCACACTAAGGAATTTTTTTTTTCTTTCTTTTTACTGTAAGAATTTTCAAGTAGCAGGGGCAAGGTTAGTAATAAGCTTCCCTGTATCCTGTCACACAGCCTTCATAGACTCATTTTATATTAGTGATCACTCATCTCCACTAGATTGTTTTGGAGCAAATCTGGACATTTCATTTCATTTGTAAATATATGTGTCCATAAGATAATAGACATGTTTTAAAAATAGCAAGCAGTATAAATAGCAGTACTAAAGATTTACATATATGTATATATATGTTTTAGTTATAGGTAGGCACAATACCTTTATTTTTATTTTTATGTGGTGCTGAGGATGGAACCCAGTTTCTCACGTGTGCCACTGATCCACAATCCCAGCCCCTAAAGATTTTTTTTAATGGTAATAGTAGTTATATACTGATTCTACTTAGAAATGGAAAATATTACTGTATTAATCCAAAATAAACTTAAGATGGATTTTGTTTACAGGTGTTTGAAGTTTTCTTATCTAAAATGAATGTTTATAAATTTGAGGCAAATGTAAAACAAATGTATTTTTTTGTTCACACAGCTTTTCTGTTTTTATTAGTAATATTATCTTCCATGTTACTTCATGGTTTGTTTTCCTTAAGAAAGTCTTTTCAAACCTTTTGGTTAGTCATGAATCACTGATTTTATGACATTTCCTTTGTTATTTTAACTTCAATTTAAGGGTGATGATATATCTTCTAATATGCCAATTTTGTTACCCAAATGTTATCTTCATATACTTTTCTTTTCAGCTAGAACAAAAAATGTGAATTGTATGAGTTATATCCCTTATTTGATACACATCCTTTTGACAGTTGGTGACCTTTGGATATGGTTCCTGCAGTTTCTGAATAATTTTTAAAAGTTGGGATTATTATATGAGCCTCCATTAAAAAAAATTTCAGTAAATATTTTAGTGAAGTCATGAATTTTTGGATTCCAAAGCTTCATGTTTTGTAAAATAAAACTAGTGTAGTTTATAGTTTTTTCATACCAACAGTATACTTTGTAATGTTTACAGCTCCGTAACTTGTGGTTCCTTTAATATTTTCTCAGTTTGATTTATTTTGACCAACTTTTCAAATTCTGTAAATATATCTAGTTAAGCTGTGTCAGGTTTAATTTGAACAACAGATCTTTTAAAATTATCTTACTCATCTGAAAACTTAAGTTTTACACACTTTGCAGTATTGTTTCTTTTTTTCTTCCTTTTAAGGTACTAAGGGTTTAACTCAGGAGTGCTATACAACTGAACTATATCGACCCTCCCACCCCCCTACTCATTTGAAATAGAGGCTCACTAAGTTGCTGAGACTGGCCTTGAACTCACAGTCCTCCTGCCTCAGCCTCTGGAGTAGCTGGGGAATTGCAGGCATAGGCCATAGTGCTGGGCTTTTATTTACTGATTTAAGTGAAACTGATAAGATCTCTTAAAAGCAGTGTGGACACATCTGTCAACATAAGCCTATTTTACATGATCAATTAACTCTACTTCCAATCGCTTGTCTTATTGAATATAATGTGTAGGTACAAAGGTCTTTTTGTTTTGGTACTGGGGATTGAATCCAGGGATACTTTTCCACTGAGCCACATCCCCATCCTCTTTTTATTTTATTTCTTATTTTGAGACAGAGTTTTGCCAAGTTGCTGAGGCTGGATTTGAACCGGCAATCCTGCCTCAGCTTTCTGAGTTGCTGGGATTACAGGCATGTACCACTGCATCTAGTTCAAAGATAATTTTTTTCTGAAGCATTAAAAAGGAAAAATTAGACATCCTTAAAGCAAAAATCGTGGTATATTCATACAGTGTAATTCCTAAAAGTATGCATGAACTAGTAATTTGATCAAAAGTTTGTACTGGGTTAGAAACCTAATTCATTATTTCAGTTAGAAAAATAGCCTTCACCACCCTCATTTTATATGTATAGTACTTGAAGAATGTAGCAAATGCCTGCATTGGTCCATTTGAAGAAAACTATTTAAATATTTTATTGTAGGTTCTAAATGAGAAGAAACTTCAAGAGGTTGATAGTTTGTGGAAAGAATTTGAAACTCCAGAGAAAGCAAATAAAATGTAAGTAATCTTGAAACCTAGAATTTAACACTTAACATTTAAGATTGTGGCCCCCACGCCATTAGTATAGTGTTACATTCAGTTTTTTGTTTTGAAATCTGCTTTATGAATAATGGTAATATGAGCCTAATTATTATGGATGTTTTATTTGGAACATAGGCCATCTCAGCTTATTAGTATTATTTGCAGACTAGAGTGGACAGCACCCCAAAATGAATATTTTATAGGTATTTGAAAACAGTTGATTGAATTAAGTATAAATTTCTGTTAAAAGTAATTGTATAAAGCAAGGAATACTGATTTTCTTGCATTGATATTCAGATTTTTTTACTTAGCATATTCATTCTTTCTTTTTTTAAATATTTCTTAAAAAATTTTTTTTTACATGTCTATATTTTTTTATGTGGTGCTGAGGATCGAACCTGGGTCTCGCCCATGCTAGGCGAGCGCTCTACCGCTGAGTCACAATCCCATCCCAGCATATTCTTTTTTTTTTTTTTTTTTTTAATTTTTTAATATTTATTTTTTAGTTTTTGGCGGACACAACATCTTTGTTTTTTGTATGTGGTGCTGAGGATCGAACCCCGGGCCGCACGCATGCCAGGCGAGCGCGCTACCGCTTGAGCCACATCCCCACCAGCATATTCATTCTTAATGACTTCTACTTCCTAGTAAAATAAAATAACTAGCTAATAAATTCTAGATAAAGTCCTGTCTTGGACTCCTCAAGATTTCTTGGCAAGAAAGTAGAGTATAACTTTGATAGCTCAACTGAAGAAATGAGTGGTGGGAGGGACAGCTGGCATTTCCTCAAGGTAGAGTCAATATAGTTATTCCACCATCTCTGAATCAACTTGTGAAATATTTGATAAATGTGTTCCTAGGAAGAACCTCTGATCCTCTTGATACTTGTGGTTTTGGGAGGGATCTGTATATGATTATGTCCATGGATGCCAACGGGTATTTGATAATACTTCTGTTATTGCTAGCAAAAGGCAAAAGAGTAAAAGGAAACTTCTTTTTGGAGGAGGGCACTTCTGGAGATTAAACAGGAGAAACTTGCTACTGCTATGAAAGAATGTTAAACCCAAAGAAATGGCATACTAAACAATTAAAGAAGCAAAATATAGATTGTAGTATTAGTGGTAGAACCCCCCTCCCAAAATTAAAACAGCTTGAATGTCCATCAGTAATGATATTGTTGCATAAACTGTAGTATATAAATCTCTTCACAGTACAGAGTGATGTTCATGAAACTCAGAAAACCAAACTTCAGGGTAATTTGTTTAACGTGATTTCATTTTTTGTAGTGTCTTTGTTTATATGCATTTATTCAAGTATTGAGAGACACAAACAAATGCCACTTCAAAAAAGATAGACGTGAGGATAAGGTGGGGAAGAAAAAGATGAATTTATTACTTATTACTTTTCCTTCGGATTTTTATATTTTTAAGTGATTTTAAATTTTTTTACATATACGTTATATATATATGTATGTGTATACATATATATTTGTTTTGTTTGGTACTGGGGATTGAACTCAGGGGTACTCAAGCACCAAGCCACATCCTCAGCTCTAATTTGTATTTTATTTAGAGACAGGGTTTTACTGAGTTGCTTAGCACCTTGCTTTTGCTGAGACTGGCTTTGAACTCAAAATCCTCCTGCCTCAACCTCCAAAGCTGCTGCAGTTACAGGCGTGAGCCACCACGCCAGCTTTTTAATTTTTTTTTTTTTTTAAGGGATCGCCACGTTCCCTTGTCAGGTAAGAAAATCTTATTTAACACTGTAATGTACAATTAATAATTATTAATAGTTACAATTTTTTGAACAAAACAGTTGTTTCAGGCAAATAGAAGACTGATTTTCCTTTTTCAAGGGTCGTACTTTTGCTGGGTTAAGGTAATTCATGGTTGTCAATGATGTATTCCAATTGAAACTGAATCTTAGTGATCTAGCTCAAATATTCGTCACTACCACTGAGACAACTATGAATTAACCATGTACATTTCTTTCTACATAAAATGTAACCCTGCGTATAAATGCATATGGGATAAAAGGGGCAAAACAAAAAGTTAAGGAAACAGATGTGACAAACTTGGGGGGGGTACTGGGGGTTGAACTCGGGGGCACTCAGGGCCCCACTGAGCTCTATTTTCCCCAGCTCTATTTTGCATTTTATTTAGAGATGGGTGAATTCACAATCTTCCTGTCTTAGTCTCCCAAGCCACTGGGGTGGTGTGGGGCAACAGTAGACTTTTTAAAAGGTATTTGTACTGGTTAGACAAGTGAATATCTTAAGATACCTTCCTTAAGAGGGCTTCAAATATTTTTTCCTTGGGTCAGTTCTGTGTTGTATAGTAAAAGTCATCTGTGTCCATAGCAGCGGGGATTATGTTGAAGCTTCAACATGTTTGTTCTTGGCCTAAGTTTTCTTCAAAGTGTATAACTTTGTTTGTATGATTCTGGACATCACTAGCCCAACATTTAGAAGAACTGGTCACTTTAAGAAGAATATTCTAATTTTGTACCTTGATTCTCATCGACAATTTCTTTTATTGCTACACACTTTGGAACACCAACACTTTTTTCATGGCTTTTGTAGAATAGTGTGCTTCCATAATATATTTCTTTTCTTTTAAATTCTAGAGTAAAGCTAAAGCATTTTGAGAAATTTCAGGATACAGCAGAAGCATTAGCAGGTAAAGTAAGAGACTAGAAGCTTTTTTTCTTAATTTATTTTGGTGTTGGTAGTTTATTTTCCTTATTAAAAGGTTGTTTGCTTCAGTTGCCTGAGTTAACCTTATTCAATGTTGTCAATGATGCATTCTTAATGGAACTGAATTTAAGTGATCTAACTCAAATTCGTCACTACCACTGAGACAACATTGAGTTAGCTTTTTTCACCATAGGGCTGGTTTTCCCCATGTGATGAGAGGTGAGAAGTGGTTAAATTGATCTCCCTGTGGAAACCAGCAGCATAATGCTGAAGCACAATTCAGTAAAAGCTGTTCTGCAAGGGACCAAGGTAATGTGGTCAAGTACACAGCTCTCTGATAGTTTGATCCAAAGGTAAAGTTGAGACTAGCTGGGATTCACAATTAGGAAAAAAAAAGATAAGGCTCTCCAGGGGTATACATTCAGGTAAGCATATGAATATAATTAAAAATTGTAGGAAAACTAATAGTTTTTTTGTTTTGAGTAAACTACAGAGGGGCACAATAGTTTTTATATTAAGTTAACAAAAAAGAAGAAGGATAGATAAAGTTGCTGAAATTCTATATTGCAAATCAGCCAACTACTTGGGTGATAAAATTAGGAAATGAACATCTGTAAGGAAGAATATTAAAATTAAGAATTTGACAGATAAAAATAATTTATTCATCAACCATGGGAAAAGATATGATTCTGAGTGAAAATTGAAAATAAATGTGCTTGAATATTATTGGGCCACCTATCCTTGAAGAGGGTAGGCTAAATGAGGATCCAATAATGAGGCCAGTTTGTTTGTTTGTGTATTTATTTATTTATTTTTGGTACTGGGCATTGAACACAGAGGTGCTTTAGCCACCAAGCCACATCCCCAATCTTTTTATTTTTTATTTCAAGACAAGGTGTTGTTGAGTTGCTGTAACTGGCCTTGAACTTGGGATCCTCCTGTTTCTGTCTCCTGAGTTGGTGGGATTACATTCCTGCACCACTGCCTGCCCTGGTTGTTTCTTTTTTTAAATAAGTAGTTCTAAGGCTCCTTCAGCCATATAGCACAACAATGATATTGTTGCCCTGGAGAATTCTTTAAAAGATCTGCTTAAGTATGGGTAGAATTTTGATAAAATCCCAAGCAATATTGTGTTAGCTATACTCCAACAGTAGGGGGCATTGTTTGCATAGATCATGATATTACCGGTTCCTCCTCAAATTGTGAAATGCTGCATCCTTGATCCCTAGTATCTTCTTGTGAATTCTTTTTTTTATATCATTGCTAATGTTTTGGAGATTTTTTTTTTTTAATATTTATATTTTAGTTCTCGGCGGACACAACATCTTTGTTTGTATGTGGTGCTGAGGATTGAATCCGGGCCGCATGCATGCCAGGCGAGCGCGCTACCGCTTGAGCCACATCCCCAGCCCTGGAGATATTTTTGACCAGCTGTTATTAAACATATTAAATGGATGAGTCAATCTTTGCCTAAATGCAAAGCAAGATTTTACTATTAATAGCTAATAGGTTTATCTCATAGTGATTCTCAAATTTGTACTCATTTAAAGTCATCATATGACTTTATTTTTTTTTTTAAGAATTTTTTTTAATATTTATTTTTTAGTTTTCGGCGGACACAACATCTTTGTTTGTATGTGGTGCTGAGGATCGAACCCGGGCCGCACGCGTGCCAGGCGAACCAGGCGAGCGCGCTACCGTTTGAGCCACATCCCCAGCCCCGATCATATGACTTTAAATAACAATATATGTTATCACATTGTTATTTTAAGTCATATCTCTGGCTAGGAAAGTATATTAATAGTAGAGTGCATACTTTGCATGTGTTGGGTTCTGGGTTCAATTCTTAAAACCACCAAAAATAAAAAAAATTAAGTTGCCCTGGTCTAATCTCCACAATGCAGAGATTGCTATAAATTGGCAAATTTTTAGATTCTAGGACAGCATCTGACTATACAGGATTTATAATCATGGGGTATATGAATTCGAGTAAGTTCTCTAAGGAATCCAGTCATAGAAACCTGTGGTACCTTTTCCTGTTTTTACCAGTAAGGGAAACATCCCCTTAGAGTTTTGATTTGCAGTACTGGGGATTGCCTCATTCCAATTTTGACATTGATAGCACCAAACTTGTATCTGTAAATGTCACTATGTATATTTTAAATCCCATAGCTTTAAAAATTAGAGTCTAATGGAGTGTGAAACCAAGATTCTGTATGGGTACCAGAAGTTCACATATGCCATTAGTATGGAGAGGCTTGTTTTTAGTCTTGCTTATGTTTTATATTAAATATAATAATAAATTTTGATATGGGGAAGATACGTATAATTATTAGAGTAGGAATTTTTAACTTAAGAAATGAGGATGAACACTAGGTTATAAATAAAAGATGATACAGAAGATTAGGAACAGGAAGCAAAAGTTAAATTTAAACTTTTCAATTAAGAAGTTTTTCTATTTATGTACATGTAATAGGTAGGTAGGTAGGTAGGTAGGTACGTGATGCTCAAACCCAGAACCTTAAGCATGCTAAGCAAGTGCTCTGCCACTAGTTACATCCCCAGTCTGAGGGTTTAAAACCTTACATAAGGAAAAAATATAAAGAAGACCTTTTTCTCTCTCTCTTTTTTTTTTTTTTTGGTACTGGGGATTGAACCTAGCAGCCCTCTACCACTGAGCTACATCCTTAACCCTTTCTATTCTTTTTATTTTGAGACAGAGTCTCACTAAATTGTTTAGGGCCTGAGCCTCCTGAGTCAACTCGGGTTACTGGCATGCAAAGAAGACTGTTGTTAGAAGGATAGATTTTAAGGAATCAATGTAAAAATTATAAGAGTTTAGAAACCTGCAAAAGCTATGTGAGAGCCAGATGCTTTTTGTCCTCACCTTGAATCTTCCCAGATAACTGATGCAATGGACTTGTAATTCAAATGGATGACATGGAATCAGGAGGGAAGAACAGGTACCTGGCTAATGAAGGAAACTGCTTGACATTAGAAACTGGCAGGTCTTTCTTTCTGCTAGGCATACTTTTAACCTCAGACAAAGTGAGAAGTACATATGGGTCTGGAAGTACATATACTTATCTAAGGAAGGGCTTGTTAACAGGAGATTTACAGGCACAGGCCTGATGATACATCTGGTTTGGGGATTAGCAAAAATAAGGCTTCCCTCCACTCAAACATGCTTACACTGTTGCACAGCCTTCCTTTTTTTCTAATACTCATTTTGATATGATTTTAGGGTATTTTGCAGTCAAGGACATCAAGCCAGTCTATCTGAAATGACAGGAGAATGAATCTAAGACTTTACTATCCTCTCCTAGAGTTTGTGAGAACATTTGTGTGACGTAAAGATAGAAACCCTTCCTATAAGATATGTAACCATTCACATTGATTGTTTCAGAAGTGACATTAAATTTAGGCCTTTCAAAAGGAAGTATTTTGCTTTAAATTTTAAAATACGTTCTTGCAGTTAAAAATCTGAGGTAACTCTTGTGTTTTTCTTTTTTCTAAAAAGCATTCACAGCTCTGATGGAGGGCAAAATCAATAAGCAATTGAAGAAAGTTCTAAAGAAAATAGTGAAAGAAGCACATGAACCTCTGGCTGTAGCTGATGCTAAACTAGGAGGAGTCATAAAGGTAAAGTAGGGGTGAGGGTTTGGCCTAATGATAAGAGTATGTGCTGAGTATGCACAAAGCCCTGTGTTAGGCCCGCAAACACTAAAATGAACATACGAATGAATGAATTTAAAGTCATGACTTTCTTTTATGCCTGCTAGTTTGATCTCACAGGATTCTAATTACAAAGCCTAGCCTTTGTAATAAGTTGTTTGTCGTTAAGTTCTCATATTACATCTTTTTTCCTAAGCTACATAATAATTTCCATTAGTATTAGCAGAACCAAACATATATATATAAGTAGTTCCTGTTCATTGTAGAAAATACAGATTAACAAAAAAAGATTAAAATTAGCCCTATCCCTGCTACTCATAATCTCTTTTTTTAAATTTATATATGATATTGGAATGCATTACAATTCTTATTACACATACAGAGTACAGTTTTTCAACAAAAATGGGGTCATGATTTTATTTTTTGGGTGTTTATTAGAAATCTTTAGTAGGGGGATATACTTGCTAGAAATAGTGAGAGTGGAAGGAAAGACTGGAAAAATAGCATACCAAACTCAAAAAGTAGAACAGTGAGATCCATTCATGATAGATTGAAGTTTAGTAGTTAAAGTAAATATTTCTGCCACAGGCTAATTGTTGTGATCATAAAACATACCTCTGAATCATGAAGTCAGGAAAGAACTATGTGAAATGGTAGCAAAGTGCTAAGATTTAAGAGCTTTAGTAATAAGTCAATGGTTAATTTTAAGAAGTTCATTTAAATAGATTACTTCTAATACTATTGGGCAATGAGGTTTTCGTTGATGATTTCAGTCTCTCCATCCTTTGCATTGTACACAGGCTTAACTTTTTTTTTTTTGTTAAAGGCTATAACTTTTAGCACATTAGGAAGAAACAGACATTTTCAGTATCTTTATGAACTGAAGTATTCAAATTCCAAGTTGAGTTCTGAATGTAGACATTGTACTCAAGAGAATGAAAGCCTGAGAGAATATAGTAAGCAGTACTTGAATCAAGTGTTCATACTTGTGGTATAAGAATACCTACAAAGGCATGCAAAAGGGCATATTGATGATGGGTATCTTTTAAAATTATTTTTATTACTTAGTAAGTTTTTATACAGATTATCATGTATAATACACTAAATTGTGGCAGGGGGTGGGGGGCATGGATTGAATCCAGAGGCACTTAATCACGAGTCACATCCCCAAGCCTATTTATTTTTTATTTTGAGACAGGGTCTTGCTAAGTTTCTGAGGCTGGTCTAGAACTTGCAATCCTCCTGCCTCAGCCTCCCAAATTGCTGGGTTACAGGTGTGTGCCACTGTACCCAGCTATATATTTTCTTCTTAAATGAGTTTTGCATACCTGTTAATATTTGCATGAGATAGACTAGAACTATGTAGACCTGTGTGAAGTAGTTAGCCAATACACTGCAGTATGGAAAATTGAAGGTGTGCAGGGGAAAAAAAAAATTATCCCATTGTGGGTAATTTGAATTTGGCAATCCTCCTGCCTCAGCCTCCCAAGCTGTTGGGATTATAGGCGTGTCGGCCTCATTACAATCTTACAAGTGTATTACCTTTATACTTTAATTTTGTTTTTAATTAATTACATTTGAAAGTCAAATAACAAAGTAATGAAAGATCCTCAAAGCTTTTTTTAAAAAAGGGAACAAAACTACTAAGTCAAATTATATTCATCATTTACAGCTTTTAATTCGATTAATCAAGCTGTCTTCCAGGAAGTTTGTACAGATTTGACTTCTATCCACAATATACTCGAGTATTTATAAACATATAAGAAACTTCATCAAACTGAAAATGCATGTGCTCAAATCAGTACATTAACATATAAGAACTAATTTCAGGAAATCTCTTATTTATTAGAAATGTTCTTATTCTTGTAGGAAAAACTGAATCTCAGTTGTATCCATAGTCCTGTCGTTAATGAACTTATGAGAGGAATCCGATCACAAATGGATGGATTAATCCCTGGTGTAGAACCACGTGAAATGTCAGCCATGTGTCTTGGGTTGGCCCACAGGTGAGAAATACTGTAAATATAAAGTCAGTTACGTAGAACTGTTCCCAAAATGTTACAGATATTAACTTAATCCTCATATTAACCTCATGAGGAAACTAATATTGTGAAATAGTAAAGCTGATAAATGATAAAGCCAGGATTTGAACCCATACAACCTGGCCCTATTGCTGGGTTCTTAAAACTTCATCATAGGAATTATTTACCATTCTAGTGTTGGATCCCTCATTTTATTTTATCTCTACCAACTCTAATACTGTGCCTCCACCCACTGCCACTTCCCAGAATTTTCAAATCTGCTATATTTCCTTCCATTTTGTATGTGTGTGTCAGTTTCCATTTTGTATATGTGTGTCAGTGTTGATTTTTTTACCGTTTTTTAATAATTTTTTAGAATAAGGCATCTTAATTCTCCCACGTTTAATGACAGGTTCATTATTGTGCACATTGCTGCTGTGCTATGTTCACAAAAAGCTTGATATTCTGGTGTACTAAAAATAGTTTGTGAAGAAAGTAAGAGATTATAGGTAGAATACTTAAAACCTATGCAACTGTATAGGTAGCACTATCAAAAATGATTCTATGAGCTAAGTTTGTAGATCAGTGGTAGAGGGCTTGCCTAGTGTGTGAGGCACTGGGTTTGATTCTTAGCACTGCACATGAATGAATAAATAAAGGTTCATGAACAACAACAATATATTTTGAAAAATGATTTTTTCTATATGTGGTACAGCACAATTAAAAAGTCTTGTGAAGTTTATATTAAATAAATACTACATGCTGGGCATGGTGATGCACACTTATAATTCCAGCTGCTTGGAATGCTGAGGCGGGAGGATCGAAAGTTAAAAGCCAGCCTCAGCTAAAGTGAGGTGCTAAGCAACTTAGTGAGATCCTGTCTCTAACTAAAATACAAAATAGGGCTGGGGATGTAACTCAGTGGTAGATCACATCTCTGTTCAATCCCCAGTAGTGCAAAGAAAGAATTATTACAATAAATAGTAGTCTCTAACACAAATTTTAAGAAGTGAGCAGAGGACTAGTCTAGCATTTTTGAGGCCCCGAGTTCAAACTACAGAGTAGGGACAGGGGTGAATATAGACTAATGAAAAGGTTGAAGCTGCTGTATTATAGACATAAGAGTAGAGACCAGGAAGAATTTTTAAATGAGCTTCTCTAAGAATAAGTATTGAAACTGAATCATTACCCAAATATAGGATTAAACAACAATGTGTATACCAGTGGTTCTCTTAAGGACAATTAGATGTTCCCTTGAGTTATTTGACTATCTAGAGATATTTTCAGTTATCGCAACTGATGCTGTAATAGAATATGCCACCAACATCTAATTGGTAAATATCAGGGATGCTGAAAATGTCCTACAAAGCATAGCTTGGCACCCTCCTATAAGTAATAATTATTGTCAGTTTTGCCAAGATTTTTTTTTCTTTTTATACTGGGAATTGAACTTGGTGTTAATCATTGAGTGACATCACCAGCCCTTTTTTATATTTTATTTAGAGACAGGGTCTCATTGAGTTGCAAGTGTCTCACTAAGTTTCTGAAGCTGGCTTTCAACTCCCGATCCTCCTATTTGAGTCTTCTGGAATTACAGGCATGCGCCACCATCCCCAGCCAGTATTGCCAAGATTAAGAAATTGTTCTATAGCTTTGTTTTTAGATGTTAAGAGACTATTATAATTTTTTTTAGTTGTCAATGGACCTTTTTATTATATGCAGTGCTAAGAATTGAACCCAGTGCCTCACACATGCTAGTCACGCACTCCACTACTTAGTTACAACCCCAGCCCTAGAATATTTCTTGAAAGAGGTGATATAAAGCCTTGATGTGCTACCAAAAAAATCATATGTGCCAATATGACTTTTACCTCTACACAGCATTATTTTGTTTGTTATTCACATATAAACTAATTCATGTTGCAGAAGTGCAGGTTGTAGCAAATGTGTGCTTTGTGATATTTCATAAGTGCATTTATATTTGACTTGGTTTCCTACTTAGAAAAGCTGAAAACAGTATAACTGAGGACAGAGATTTGGATTTGAATTTAAGATGTTAATTTTTCTCATTCCACCATCTTTTACCCTAAGTACATGTATGAAGACATGAATGGTGTGAATATACTTTGTATACAACCAGAGACATGAAAAATTGTGCTCTATGTGTAATATGAATTGTATTACATTCTGCTGTCATATATAACAAATTAGAATTTCAACATTTTTTTAAAGAAAGATGTTAATTTTTCTCATCACTGCTAGGAACTAAACATAAGGATACTCTACTACCCAGCTGTATCCCCAAACCGTTTTATTTTTATTTTGAGACAGGGTCTTGCTGAGTTTCCCAGGCTGGCCTTGATCCTCCTACCTCAGCTTCCTAAGTCACTGGATTACATGCATGCTCCAGCACACCTAGAATGTTAATTTTAAATGCTTTACTAATTTGCCATTTTCTCTCTCCTCCTCAGCTTGTCTCGATACAGATTAAAGTTTAGTGCTGATAAAGTGGATACAATGATTGTTCAGGCAATTTGTAAGTATAGTACATGGCAAGGTCTAATCTGTTTCTCTGTTCTTGATGTTTTTGTTTCTATGGAAGCTATTTGTTGAGAAAGGAGTTAAGCTATTACTGAGTTGATAGATCACAAAAATAGTAAAGAAGGAAATTACCCATAATTTGATTAGTATAGGATAACATGAATCACAGTATTAAAATGTAAATTGATGTGTTTTCTTCTGTAATGTGAAAAATGGGGTAGGATCTATTTAATTGTCTTTTTTACTTAGCTTTTAAATAATGTGTTATTCTCCACGGAGAACTGTTTTTAGTAACATTGTCATAGCTCTTTGAATCTTTAAAATTCCTATAGTAATTCTATTCCTTTATACATACCCAAGAGAATTGAAATTAGTGACTCAGGTTAGTCTCCTGTATTGTTATACCCATGTTTACAGCAATATGATTTACAGTAGCCAAAGATGGAGAAAACCAAAATATCTATTAACAGATGAATGGATAAATAAAACATCTGTATACTTAAAATGGAAGGTCACATCAGATACATTTTACAATGTGGATAAACCTTGAAATAAATGTAAAAGGGAAATAATACCGGATTCTACTTATGAAGTTCTAGAATAGACAAATTCATGGAGACAAAGTAGTATAGATGTTAGTAGGGGTTTGGGGAGATAATAATAGGCAGTTATGTTTTAATGGCTATTGAATTTTCAGTTTCATATAATGAAAATGTTCTGGGAATGGAATGTAAATATGAGAGTGTACTTAATGCTACTGGATTGTAATTTTGAAAATGGTTAAATGTGAATTTTATTATACATATATTGTACTGTAATAAACTTTTTTTTTGTGTCCTCATTTTTATCTACTACAGCCTTGTTAGATGACTTGGATAAAGAACTAAACAACTACATTATGCGATGTAGAGAGTGGTATGGCTGGCATTTTCCAGAATTAGGAAAAATTATTTCAGATAATTTGACATACTGCAAGTGTTTACAGAAAGTTGGTGAGAAATTTGTATATCCTTAAAGACATTGAAAATAACTAAATTTGGTTGCATGTCAAAACAAATTTTAGTAACTTAATCTGTTTGATTTCAGAGTTAAAATCAATTTTTACTTTGACCTATACAACAGAGAAAATGGTTCTCTGAGTTTTTCTTTAAGTAGCTTCTTATGGTAAGCTAATTAATAATAGAGGCAATTGTAGACTGAGGGCATCCTATAGTATATTAACTGTATCTAGTATTTACAGTAATATAGCTGTCTATATTGTTGATGTTATATTCTGTACTGTGCAAATTGCTTGTCTCATTAACATTTTCAGAATTAATGGCCCCATCTTCCATATAAAATTGACATTAGTCCTGTACTTACTTTTGCTACCTTTCTGAACTTAAGTTTTTATGGAATGTTTTGTCTTATTTTTATCACAATTATATTTTGGAGGGAAATAGTGGGGAGAAATTTATCTCTAAAATCAAGCATTTACACATCAGGATAACTAGTAGGTATGACTTAGTTGTTTTTTGTTTCACTCAGGCATCCTTTTTGGGGGTGGTGATGGTGCTAGGAATTGAACCCAGGACCTTGTGCCTGCAAGGCAAGCACTCTACCAACTGAGCTATATCTCCAGCTCTCATTTAGGCATCCTTTACATTGGCTTATATCTACTTTTCTTTTGACTGTATGGTGGATTTTATGTAATTTGTTAGAGTGATTCTCCCTCATCCTCTGCAAACATTCTGTAGGTGATAGGAGGAACTATGCTTCTGCCACACTATCTGAATTTCTGCCAGAAGAAGTTGAAGCTGAAGTGAAAGCAGCAGCAGAAATATCTATGGGAACAGAGGTTTCTGAAGAAGATATTTGCAACATTCTGCATCTTTGTACCCAGGTAAATTGTATCCATAGTGAATCCAGCTGTTTCCAGCTTTATAATAATTTTCTGATGGCAATGATGATTTTTATTGTTATTGTTCACCTGATAAAAACATGAGGGTGTTCAGTCACTACCTCATCTGATGCCATCTTATTTGGTATACTTAGAAGGGGAAGTACATAGTGGAATGAAGTAATTTGTACTACTAGCATATTTATTAAGAAGCACAAGAAATATGGCTTGAGTTATTGGAGTTTGTGTTTATAGCCCATGATAATTTTTTGCCCCAAATTTGATAGTTATATACAAAAAATTTACAGATGACACAAATGTGTAGCTGATGGAATTTTTTGAAAACTATTAGAATAGTATTGACAAACTTTTTTTTTCAGAAGCTATACTGTAAGTGGTTTACATACATTTGTTTAATTCAAGACTTACAGAAGTCATTTTATAGAAAACCAGTCTTAAAAGTAAATTTACCTAGGGTCAAGCAGTTCTTTGATAATTCAGGAATCCAGACCTTTTTAATTTGAGATTAGGGTCTCAGTATGTAACCCACACTAGCTTCAAGCTCCTAACCTTATATGACCTACCTGCTTCAGTCTCCTGAGTAATTAGACTAGAGGCACATGCCACTTTGCCTAAGCTGTTGTACTTGAGTGTTTTAGTCATGTAAATTTGACACTGTTTTTACTGATAGGTCTTTATTACTTACTCATTTTATTCCTTTTGTTAGGTGATTGAAATTTCGGAATATAGGACTCAGCTCTATGAATATCTACAAAATCGAATGATGGCCATTGCACCCAATGTTACAGTTATGGTTGGAGAATTAGTTGGAGCAAGGCTTATTGCTCATGCAGGTGACTGTTTTAATGTAATTTGTAAACATGAGTATTTAAAGTCATTTTTTCTGGATTTTGATCTTTACAACTATTAAAAAGTAACAGCCAAGTGTTCAATGATGATTTTTGTTTGCTGGATTTCCTTTTGGATAATGAAGGCATCTTTAGTCACTACCTCTTCTGAGACACTTGTGGTTCTTTTTTCAGATGTTTGCTCTGGTTAATCAGATAATTACAGAAGAATATAATTACTTATCATTTTTCATAATATTAAGAACTTATGAATCCAGGCACAGTGATACACTCCTGTAATCCCAGCTACTCAATAGACTGAGGCTGCAGATTACAAGCTCAGGGCCAACTTGGGCAATTTAGCAGGAACTTGTCTCAAAAAATTAAGTTAAAAACGGCTGGGGATATAGCCTGGTAATAGTGACTGTGGATTCAGTCCTCACTACTGCCCAAGAAAAGAAAAAGTCATGAGTTAAGAGTATGAAAATCAAAAGGAGATTAATAGAGGAAAGGGAATGGGGTAGGATGGAAGGAGGGAGGGGGGTAAGATCTGGGGAGTAATATTGGCCAAATTATATTGTTATGTTGCGTATATGTACAAACATAAAAATTTCATAATTTTATATAAATATAATGCACCAATAAAAAAGATGTGGAAAGAAAAAGTCATGAGTTCGGGAGATGTAGCTCAGTTGTAGAACATTCACCTAACATGCACAAGGCCCTGGGTTCAGTTCCCAGTACCACAAAACAAACAAAAACCCACATCAGACCAAGATGAATATAGTTCAGGCAATGTATATTCTTGATAAATTATGTGAATTTCATTGTTGAATATGCTATTTTAATGTATTTGACTTTCAAAGTGTTTTGAAGAATCAATTTATAATAAACTTAATGTGTATGTAGTAAAATTGTAAGGGTGATATGCTACAACAAAAATCACTGTATAATTGAATACCTTTAGTATAGTTGAAGTACCAATTTATTTTTTTAAAATATATTTTTAGTCATTGACAGACCTTTATTTTTTTATATGCGGTGGTGAGAATCGAACCCAGTGCCTCACACATGCTAGGCAAGCGCTTTATCACTGAGCCACAGCCCCAGGCCCAATTTATTTTTATCCTATTAGAGACATTGTTATAATCCATCATAGTTCTTATTTATTATCTACATCAAAGTGTTTAAACTGAAATAACTCTCTTAGCTACGTTTTTAATGAGACATAATATTCCATTCAAGTACCCTTCACTACAGGATCACAATCATCTAGCCTGGTTTCCTTGGCTTCACCCAGTTTTGTAGATGTATCTAAACTTATGGTGGTAACACATGCATACAGAGATTAACAGAAATATGAGTTTTTTTCACTTTAAACATGTCTTCAGTAATTGAGCTCCTAACATTAACATTGGGTGTGTAGTGTTTTGTTTTTGTGGTACTTGGTATGCTCTGCAAGCATTAATACTACTAAGCTGTGTACTCAGCCCTTGTTTTGTTTTTTGATACAAAATATTCTTTGCAACATATCCAAGAAAGCAACTTAGTTTAGTTCCAGGCATATTGCTTCTTAATCCATATCTGAAATAAAGTTAAATGAAGTGAGAATATTTTTTCAGTTAATACTAGTGAGATATTCATATAGTTGATACTACCTAGTACATATCTAGAACAATGGAATATTTGATGTCCAAAATCTCAGGAAATGGGGGATAGATTGATGTGTGTAAATACTTGTGTTTATATATTAATCACTTGGGGAATGCTAATGAATATACAGTAGAAATACCATCTCAGGCAAATAAGTTTAAGTTAAGCTTAACCTTCACTTTGTCATAGACATCACAAATCTCTGCCTCAGAGTCAAATGAAGCATTAGAATTTTCAGGGAATTTATACAAGATTACATAATTCTGCATCATTTGAGAATTTTTTAATTTATTACTCTAGCTATAATAAACTATGTCTTTTATTTAATACATGGAATGTACATATCTGGTAGTGCTTTATTAGTGACTACTATTTATTTTTTGTAGGTTCTCTTTTGAATTTGGCTAAGCATGCAGCTTCTACAGTTCAGATTCTTGGAGCTGAAAAGGCACTCTTCAGAGCCCTTAAATCTAGACGGGATACCCCTAAATATGGTCTTATTTATCATGCTTCACTTGTGGGCCAGTCAAGTCCCAAACACAAAGGGAAGGTGAGTTACAACTTTTCTGAAGTTAAGCCTTTTCCATCTATTGTCTATCTATCTATTTTTATTTCTAAAAACACACATTTCTCCTGTAATTATAGTGCACATTCAGACTTTCTATTGTCTTTATCATTTAATTTTGTTTAAATTAAAAGCATTTGTGTGTACTGAAAGAAAAGATTAGAAGAAATAGTTTATTGGTCCATCTGTAGCCATTTTCTTTCACTATTATTTTTTTCCTAGGATTCACCTGTGGGTGATTCACAAAAGGATTTTGCAAGAAAGCCAGTCTAATGTTTATGAACTTTTTTTTTTTTTTGAGAGAGAGAGAGAATTTTAATATTCATTTTTTAGTTTTCGGCGGACACAACATCTTCGTTTGTATGTGGTGCTGAGGATCGAGCCCGGGCCGCACGCATGCCAGGCGAGCGCGCTATCGCTTGAGCCACATCCCCAGCCCCGCATTTATCAACTATTAAAACTAATAGCACATAGGCAGGCATGGTGGTGCACATCTGTAATCCCAGCTACTCAGGAGGCTGAGCCAAGAGGATCCCATGTTCAAGGCCAGCAACTTAGAGAGACCCTGTCTCAAAATTTAAAATATGGGTTCGGGATGTAGCTTAGTGATATAGAGAACCTCTGGCTGGGTTCAATCACCAGCACTGCCAAAAGAATAATAATGGTAATAATAGTATGTACTTTCCTGTTTTACAGATATTGAAAACAGACTTAAAAAATTAAGTACTTTCAGTGTTTAAGAATTCCTAATTTAATAGAAATAACTAAAAATTTTTTTTCTTTTTTAGAGAGGTAATTTATTTTAATACTTATTTTTTCGGTGGACACATCTTTGTTTTATTTTTTTATGTGGTGCTGAGGATTGAACCCAGCCCCCAGCGGATGCCAGGCGAGTGCGCCACTGCCCGAGCCACATCCCCAGCCCCAGAAATAACTTAAAATTTTATAAACTTAAGAGCACAGTAATGGAAATAAAGTGTTCAATGAAACAATGTCAGTTTAAAGAAGTACCCGCGATAGTTAAGACTGTTATGAGAGAAATGAATATAGTTGTTCTAGGGGACCTCTTACGGCATTGAAATAGTATCACTGTGTGAAACTAAAGGTAGACATTGGAAGATTAGTTTTAGTTTACTTTATTTTATATTATGTTATTTTTGGTACTGGGGATTGAACTCGGGGGGCATTCAAACACTGAACCATATCCCCAGCCCTATTTTTAATTTTATTTAGAGACAGAGTTTCACTGAGTTGCTTAACACCTCACTTTTGCTGAAGCTGGCTTTTAACTTGTGATCCCCCTGCTTCAACCTCCCTAGCTGCTAGAATTATAGGCATGCGCCACCATGCTTGGCTAATTATTAGTTTGAGATAATTTTAAACACAAATTTATTAAAACGTGTTTTTGTCCACCAAAGTATTAACAGTGATGTATAACCAGTAAGCCATTATACTGTAGCAAAGATGAAGAAATACAGTAGGAGATTTGAGTTGTATGACTTATAATACTTTTGATTTTGATCTTAAAATGAGGTCTAGCAGATGTAGTTCAATGGTATAACTGCTCGCATACCATACATAAGGCCCTTGGTTTGAGTCCCCAGCACCCCCACCCCCTCAAAAAAAAATCTAGAATGAATGGTAATATGCTGATTTGGTATAATTTTTCTCATGAATAGCTGAGAATTTTACATCTGAGCTTGGGATATAGTTTGATTGCTTCTAACTTCATGTTTTCTATTAGATTTCTCGAATGCTAGCAGCCAAAACCGTTTTGGCTATACGTTATGATGCATTTGGTGAAGACTCCAGTTCTGCAATGGGAGTTGAGAATAGAGCTAAATTAGAGGCCAGATTGAGAACCTTGGAGGATAGAGGGGTAAGAACCATATTCCACTAATTGCACAATGTTTCCTGTGATTTGTTAATAAACAATGATAGTCTTATGAAACTGTTGTTTTGTGATCCACTTTAGTATGTGATATATTTTTTGTACCTGCTGTTAAGTTTCTCTTATTTTCCAAGAATTAATGTATTGAATCACATTTGTCATTAAGATATGCTGTTCAGAGTAAAGAAAAATTATCAGATATTGCTGCCTATTGGTCCACTGAACTTTCTAGACATAATGTATTATACAGATATTATGCTTGGGGGCTGGGGATATAGCTCAGTTGGTAGAGTGCTTGCCTTGCATGCACAAGGCCCTGGGATCAATCCTCAGCACCACAAAAAAATAAAAATTAAAAAAAAGATATTATGCTTGGAATTTCATTAGTAATTTCCATTTTTCTTCTCAGATAAGAAAAATAAGTGGAACAGGAAAAGCGTTAGCAAAAACAGAAAAGTATGAACACAAAAGGTGAGTATATTTAGGGGAATAGATGAACACATTGTTTATTAATTATCAACAGCATGCACATACATGGCCCCCTTACATCCCCTAATTTTTTTTTTTTTTTTTTAATATAGGGTTTCACTAAGTTGCCCAGGGTCCAGGCTTTCCTCAACTTTGCAATCTACCTCAGCCATTCACATAACTGGGATTATAGGCATGCCTCACTACAACCAGCAACAGCAATTTTTCAATTATAAACTTAAGCACCTAATTAGCTCGCAATCTTTTTAACTATTAAAAAATTATATACATTTATCGTATAAGTGTTGTTTTGCCAAGTATGTATATTGTGAAATGGCTAAATTAAGCTAACATGCATTAGCTTACTTTTTTGTGTGGTAAGACACTTAAAATTTACCTGCTGTGTTTGACAGTAGTCACCATGTTACACATCTTTTTTTTTTTCCTTCTCATTTAGTTTTTTTATACTCATTTCTATTTTTTTATCCCCAGTGCTTTATATTTTTTATCTTGAGACAGGATCTCGCTTAGTTGCTTAGGACCCAACTACATTTCTCAGTCTGGCCTCAAATTTGTAATCCTCCTGTCACGGCCTCCTAAGTCATTAGGATTAGGTGTGTGTCTCCATGTCAAACTCATTTCTACTTTCTAATCACTTCTAATTTCTAGTTTCTAACTTCCAGATATTAGTACTAAATATTTTTCGTATAAAATTCCTCTATGAATTATGCTATTTATAAAAAAGAAAGTTTATCTAGGATTAATCTACAAAGGAAACTCTTAAAAAGAAAGTCAAAGATGGAAGATAAGTTTAAAAATGGTTCATAGGCATGATGAAATACTCAGATCTCACTGTCAACAAGATTTGTGTATGGAGGGTTCTTTGGTTATCATTTGGTTTAATGCTCCATATTCACATCAGGTTGTGGTGATAGAAGTCGAGTGATACAACTGTTTTGGGAAACAAAACATTATGACATTATGTATCAAGATTCTTCAAAGTGCTCCTAGTCAGTCATTAACCTAATTCTACTTTGAAGAATTTTTAGTTGTAGAGGACACAATACTTTTATTAACTAGTTTATTTATATATGGTGCTGAGGGTCCAACCCTTGAACAGAGAAAGCAATATATAATTATGTATCTATTCATACATGCAGGTATTAAAAATACATGTTTGAAAATTTTTTCCTGTATACTTTGAAAAAGCCAAATGCATGCACTGTGGACATTAACACTTTAATTGTAAATTTCTAAGTTGTTTACAATAGCTGCATATTCTTTGCGGGAGTGGGATATTGGGGGTTGAACACAGGGACCTTCAACCACAGGTCTACTCCCTCAGATCTTCTTTCTTTTTTTTTAAACAGGGTCTAGTTAAATTTAAGAGACTTACAGTTCTCTTGCCTTAACCTCCCGTGAAGCTGGGATTACAAGCGTGCAACCACCATGCCTAACTTTTAAGCAATCTTTCTGTATCTATCCCCTTTTATTCCTTTGCCCTGTGGGATATTGTGATGAAGATATCTGTATAAATTTTGGTTTTTATTTTATTTCATTTAATTATACAACTTTCTCAAAATGGGATTCAGTTTTTACTTTCTTGCTAATTGTGGAGATGTTTCTCCATTTGTGGGGGGTGAGTTGAGGTACTGGGGATTGAACTCTGGAACACTCAATCACTGAGCCACATCCCCAGCCCTATTTTGTATTTTATTTAGAGACAGGGTGTCACTGAGTTGCTTAGCACATTGCTGTTGCTGAGGCTGACTTTGAACTTGAGATCCTCCTGTCTCAGCCTCCCAAGTTACAGGTGTGTGCCACCACACCTGGCAATGCTTTTTACCTTTGGGAAAACTTAAGTCCTCATGAACGACATCAAATCCACTAAAATAAAGCTATCTTGTATGCTTGTGTATCATCTAGTGACATTCTCTTTTGTCTTGAATTATTTTAGTTACAGATATTTGTAGGGATTTTCTAAAATTCTTTTCTTTTAGTGAAGTGAAGACATATGATCCCTCTGGTGATTCCACACTTCCAACCTGTTCTAAAAAACGCAAAATAGAACAGGTAGACAAAGAGGGGGAAGTAACTGAAAAGAAAGCCAAGAAAGCCAAGATTAAAGTAAAAGGTTGGTTGAAAAATTTTAAATGCCACTTATGCTATTATGATGATACACTCTTGTACTTACTCTTACACTTAAAAATTACAGACTTTGTGAATCTTGGAATAGTATCCACCTTTACCATTGAGTGAAAGCCAGTGGTGTTTCAATATGTCATTATGTTCCGTGCGAGTAAGTGGAATCGTTAAAGGCATCAGATTTCATAGGAATGTGAGAACATAACTTCAAATACATACAATTATGTGTTTAACTAGGTTTACCAAAATACTTAGTTTCTTCTATGTACATTATTTTAGCAATTAAGAATTTTTAAAAAAGAATAAAGTGATTTCTAAGTTGGATGTTAAGATATTTTTTAGTCATGAAAATGACTAAATGAAAGTAGACTTATTAACATCAGTGGTTTTCTTTGTTATTTGGTTAATAAATTGGAATATTTGCATGCTAGGTTGCTATTATAGTGATATTTAATAAGTACTCACCAGACAACCAAACTGTCTTATGAAGTTGATTAAACCAGTGCCCCATTTGTTAGATGCACCTGTTTATTGAGTTCTTGCCAGTCTAGAAAGAGTAAAACACAGTATCTTTGTTTATTTTTAATATGGTACTAAGGATCAAACCCAGTCCCTCACAGTCAAGGCAAGCGCTGTACACTGAGCTACAGCCCCAGCCCTTCAATTTGGTTTCTAAATGGCTTAGTTGTCAAAAACATACTGTCATCAAGAATGGACACAGGCAATTATTTAAATTCCTTTTGTTTTCTTATTGAAAAATCAAGAAAATCCCTAAACTCATTGCTAGAATTTGAATCACTGAATTCTAAATTTTATCTCCCCACCTCACCAGTTTTTGTTTTTTTTAAAACGATAAGCTTTTCAAAATTAATGTGACTGGATCTTTGTGTATTCCTAATATTTTGCCTGCAATTTTTCCCATGCTCTAAGTAGCAGTTTTTGTTATTTTGGCTGTAAACTTCAACTTTTTTCTTATAATCCAAATCTATTCTGGCATCAGATCTTCTCTGTTCTACTTTGAAAATATGTAGTGGCCATAGAGGTAATACTTACTTCACATTAGTTTTCTGTTTGAGTTCTAAATTTCTACTCTATTCCAGCCACATTGACCTATTTGAAGTTTCTTAAATACCCCTCCCCAGATATTTGGAATCTTACCATTTTCTCTTCTTTCTCCTTGGAGTATTCCTTTCAGATATACCATCATTCATTTCCTTGTCTTGATGTTTGCCTGACCACTCTGTCTTACTGTCAATATGTAATTGCCCTTCTACATTCCTCTTCTTCCTGTTTTATTTTTATCCTTAACACTAATTCCTATTGTATATAGTATTATTTGCTTTGTATTTTCATTCTCCCCCTAAAATAAAATTCATAATAGAGGCTTTAAATTCCCGTAACAGTCCAGTAAGGTAAATATTTTTATTTGTTTGTTTGTTTATTTGTTTTGGTACCAGGGATTGAACCCAGGGTCACTTAACCGCTGAGCTATATCCACCCCTTTTTATTTCCTAAATGAAATATTTAGAATATTTTCCCTGAGTTTCTGTGGCTGGCTTTGAAACTTGCAATCCTCTTCCTCAGCCTTCCCAAGTTTTAGGTGAGCACAATATCTTTATTTTACATTTATTGGTGCTGAGGATCGAACCCAGTGCCTCGTGCATGCTAGGCAAGCACTCTACCACTGAGCCACAACCCCAGCCCATCTCTTAACCATTTCTAATGTAATTGCCTCCTTGCCAAAACAATGGCATTGGTAATCTGATAGCCTTTGTTTTAGTCCTAAGTTTTATATGTAACTGCATGATTAAGAGAGAAGTATGTGTCTCTGAGCTGTATCTGTATCATTTGTAAAGTTTATGGCATTAGAAAAAGTAGTCCTTGAAGGACATTTTCAATTACAAGATGGATATAAATATTGAATAGTTGACCAGAATGACCAAAAAAAACCAAGAAGATTTTGGGTGGATTGAGGTCTGGTTGAATGTTAATTGTTAGATCTTTGTACTTACCCAATTCAGTTGAAGAGGAGGAGGAAGAAGAAGTAGTACTAGTAGAAGAAGAGACATCTACCAAGAAGAAGAAGAAAAAGGATAAAAAGAAACACATTAAAGAAGAACCAGTTTCTGAGGAAGAGCCGTGTACCAGCACAGCAATTCCTGTATGTTTAAATAATTCCTGTTTTTTAACTAACCAGTACTGTCTCAGTGTGGGCAGAGTCTCCATATTTTAATCTCTTCTCTATGAGAAATGAGTAAGCATTTAAAAAAATGGTTTTCATTGATGGGGGAGTAAATAAAATTGTCTTATTTGTACTATTAATGCCCAGGTTTTTATTTTGTTTTCTTTGATAGAGGGTCCTACTAAGTTGCTTTGGGCCTTGAAGAGTTGCGAGGCCGGCTTTGAACTTGGTATTCTGCCTCTCAGCTTTGCGAACTGCTAGGATTGCAGGCGTGTGCCACGGTTCCCATTTTAAAGACCATTTTCCAAATTTATTTTCTTATTACAAAAAAGTTTGCTTTGAGGAAGGAAGAAAACATGATTTACTTTTTTTTTTAAGTGCTCAGGATTGAACCCAGAGCCTTATGCACATAAGGCAAGTGCTGGGCCACTGAGCCACACTCCAGGGTCATTTTTATATTTTAATCTTACTCCCAAATTTGTGTTTAAGGGACATTGATCTATTTTATAATGAAAAGTTATTCCTCATGCATACAATTGCAGCTCTTTCAAAAGCATTCTTGTTGCTTATTTCAGAGTCCAGAAAAAAAGAAGAAGAAGAAGAAGAAGAAAGACATTGAGGACTAATGGAAAAGGAAACAATTTTGGCACCTGGAAACATCATGCTTAAGATTCGGTTGGGAGTATGCCAGAGATGCTCTCTAAAATCATCAAGGAGAGGTTGAATGAAACAGTGATTAATCATCTCTAGCTTTTCACACTTGTGTCTTTATGTCAACTCTTGTTAACCTTATTATGTCAACATTTGTTAGAGTCTTTGATATATAAATAAAAATATTTTCTTTGTATTTTAAGGCAGGTCTGTGATCTTTTCACATTTAAGTAGTGAGTCTTTGGTCTTTTCTATATTTTATTTGACATCTGGTGATTATTGTTTTGATCATTATAGTTGAAAAGTTGTTAATGGTATGCTTAATTTGAAACAGTCTTTTGGAAGGCTGTAATTATGATAAGATGGACCGATTTAAGTACCTCATTATTACTTTTTTGGACTATTTTTCATAACCTACCCACCCACCCACGCTCTGTATTTGTTTAAATAAAGATTTGTTTCATGTTCAGATTTAAAATTAGGTGAACAAACCATTTCAGGGTCTCTTCTAGAAAAAGGAAGAAACTGTGTTTGTAACTTACTAAAACACCCTGGTTCAGTTTTCAGTACCAAAAAGAAAAACAATGTCACTTGGAAAACAGTTGGAGAGAAAAAAATGTCAGTAGAAATGAGGCATAAACTTACAAAAGAATGCTAGAGAAAGATCTTTACCTTTTTAAAATAGTATTTATTATGCCAACAGAAACTTGTTTTCTGTATCATCATGACAGTCATAAGTTTATCAAACTATTATATCTTGCCTCTTTATATCCTGTGGACATAATGCTGAAGTAAGATTCAATAAAAGCATTTGGCAGACAGAAGAAGCTAGAGACTCTAGCTTTGATTTCTGCTTTTCTTGTGACCACAAGCAAGTCAATAACCCTACTTCAGATTCCTAGTTTGCTGTTAGCTTTAATAGTGCGGTTATTTTGCTTTGAGAAAACAATGTCGTTTTGTAGTACCCAGTAGGATGTGTCCCAGATTGTATGAGGCTTTTGTTTGTTTGTTTTGTTTTGTTTTGTTTATGGTTTTTGGTACCAGGAATTGAACCCAGGGGTGCTCAACCACTGAGCCACATGCCCAGTCCTTTTTATATTTTATTCAGAGACAGGGTCTCACTAAGTTTCTTGGGACCTTGCTAAGTTGCCGAGGCTGGTTTTGAACGAAGATCCTCCTGCCTCAGCCTCCTGAGCTGCTGGAAATACAGGCATGTGCCACTACACCTGGCTGTTTTTAACACCTTTCATGAAAGTAATTCATTGATCTACCAAGAGTGGTATATTCAAAAGCTTTTACATCTGAAAAAAGTTTAGACTGAGAATGCTAACTAAAAACTTCTAGTGGTTTTGCATAGTTCTCTACAGGCCTGAGGAAAGCCTTAAAGTCTGTCTCATATGATCCTTAAATTTCAGCCTTTCTGTGTTAGGTGAGACTATAGGCTCATGCCACTGCACCCACCTATACCTAATTTTGGTGTTTTTTTTTTTTTTTTTTTTTTGAGATTTTTTTTTTTTTTTATTGGTTGTTCAAAACATTATAAAGCTCTTGACATATCATATTTCATACATTAGATTCAAGTTGGTTATGAACTCCCAATTTTACCCCAAATACAGATTGCAGAATCACATCGGTTACACATCCACATTTTTACATAATGCCCTATTAGTAACTGTTGTATTCTGCTACCTTTCCTATCCTCTACCATCCCCCCTCCCTCCCCTCCCATCTTCTCTCTCTACCCCATCCACTGTAATTCATATCTCTCCTTGTTTATTTTCCCATTCCCCTCACAACCTCTTATATGTAATTTTGTATAACAATGAGGGTCTCCCTCCATTACCATGCAATTTCCCTTTTCTCTCCCTTTCCATCCCACCTCATGTATCTGTTTAATGTTAATCTTTTCTTCCTGCTCTTCCTCCCTGCTCTGTTCTTAGTTGCTCTCATTATATCAAAGAAGACATTTGGTATTTGTTTTTTAGGGATTGGCTAGCTTCACTAAGCATAATCTGCTCTAGTGCCATCCATTTCCCTGCAAATTCTATGATTTTGTCATTTTTTAGTGCTGCGTAATACTCCATGGTGTATAAATGCCACATTTTTTTTATCCATTCATCTATTGAAGGGCATCTGGGTTGGTTCCACAGTCTAGCAATTGTGAATTGTGCTGCTATGAACATCGATGTAGCAGTATCCCTGTAGTACGCTCTTTTAAGGTCTTCAGGGAAAAGTCCAAGAAGGGCAATAGCTGGGTCAAATGGTGGTTCCATTCCCAGCTTTCCCAGGAATCTCCATACTGCTTTCCAGATTGGCCGCACCAGTTTGCAGTCCCACCAGCAATGTACAAGAGTACCCTTTTCCCCACATCCTCTCCAGCACTTGTTGTTGTTTGACTTCATAATGGCTGCCAATCTTACTGGAGTGAGATGGTATCTTAGGGTGGTTTTGATTTGCATTTCTCTGACTGCTAGAGATGGTGAGCATTTTTTCATGTACTTGTTGATTGATTGCCTATACCTAATTTTGGTTAGCAAATTTGAATTATTTTCTATGAACCCACATAAAATAATCCTTTCTTAAAACATTTATTCTATGGCTAGGAATGTGGCTCAGTGGTACAGAACTTGGTTGGCATGTGCACAGCCATGCGCAATAACCAGCACTACCCGAAAAAAAAGCTTGTGACTTGGATTCATCCTTTATCCCAACTCTATCACTTAGAATGACATGCAGTTTGGCCAAGTGTCTCAAACTTATATTGATCTGAATCAAGTCTAGGTTAGCACCCATGACAGACAGCATTTTTAGCAAGGTCTCAGGTAGTGTAAGTTGAAGGTGCATACAGTAGCCAAGTACTAGGGTAAATAATTTAAACTCATAGAACCTGTTTTTCTTTATCTGTAATTGGGTTGTTTAAAGGAATGAGGTATTTGTGAAGAGTTAAAAAATTCCTTCTGCATTACTTGACATCTTCAGTAGAACTCTTCTTACTATCAGCAATTGTTCCTGGCATGAAATAGGCTTTAATGTTCACTAATGAGTATATGGCTCATGGAGAAATTACTAATTTTATGTGTTATTCTGATTAAAGAATGCCCTTTCTGGTTTTTCTGCAGATGCCTTGAGAACAGCATGAACTTTTAAAAAAATAAGAATTTTTTATTTATTTTCTCATGTGGTGCTAAGGATCAAAACTAGTGCCTCACCTGTGCTAGGCAAGTACTCTACCACTAAGCTACAACCCCAGCCCCCATTAACTTAATATTAAGGGCATAGGTGGTTGAGCCAGTATTAAGGTTTTTAATCTGCTTTATCCTATGGCAACTCATCACCAAAAGTCAAAACTTAACTATTTTTTAATTATAACAACATTATAAGTACTTTTTTCTTTTTTTTTTCCCCCTAGCACTGGGTATTGAACCCTGGGCTTTATGTGCATGGTGAACAACTGCTTGTAGATGCTAATTTATAGTAGATTTTGTTTTGTTTGGTACTGGGGATTAAATCTAGGGGTCCTTAACCACTCAGCCATATCCCTAGCCCTGTTTACTTTTTATTTTGAGACAGGGTCTCACTAAGTTTCTTAGGGCCTCACTAAATTGCTAAGGCTGGCTTCATTGTGGCACACATCTGAAATGGCTGGATTATAGATGTGTCCTATCATGCCTGGTTTCAGTAAGTTTTTGTTCAAAAACATTTATTAAAGCAAGTGTCAGATTCTCCTAGAGATCTTCTGGAGTATTTAATAATTTTGATGCTTGGGTTGGTTTTAAGGAGAAATTTTTTAGAAATGTACGAAAAGCTTTGGTAGGGATTAGATATACCCAGAGGACATGGGGGTAGGGGAGGGTTTAAACTCAGGCCCTCACACTTGCTAATCATGTGCCTTACCATTGAACTACAACCCCAGATTTTTTTTTTTTTTTTTTCTTTGAGACAGGATCTCAAAGTTCCCCAGACTGGTCTCATCCTGCTTCAGTCTCCCAAGTAGCTGGGATCACAGGTGTGGACCACCAAACCTGGCAAGAATTCTCATTTTTGACAAATTCCAGCTCATGATGGTTAAGGGACAGTACCTTTTCTAGGAGGATTTCTTTCCATTATCTTACCTAGCTCTGCAGTTCTCCAAACTAGAACCTAATTTTATGGCCAAGATACCACCATCAGGCCTCAATTGAACTGTTTTGCTGTCAATTGTTCAGAAGCACATTGGGACTGGGCACAATCTGACTAATGTTCTTCCTACATAGTTAAAGAAAACTTGGAATTATTGTTTCCTGTGTATCAGAATTTAGTTTTTGAATTTAATTCCTGTTTCTGTGAGTGTTCTGTGTACATTTTGTATAAAATGAGGAAAAACCAGTTGTTTAAATTTGTGGGCTCATTTGAAACAGCACGTAACAAACAGCAAAAAGGTCACATGTAATGCAAAATCATTTGAAAGAAACATTAGTTAGATAATAAACTTATGACTAGTCCCACAAATGTAAATGACCAAGCATATCCTTGACTTATTTTGGTTGATTATAAACAAGGACTGGTGCTTCATATTAGTTATGGTTTACATATTAGGTGTCCACCCAAAGCACATGTGAGACAATGCAATGACTGCGTTATGAGAGCCTTAACCCAATCAGTGAATTAATCCCCCACAGAGATTATCTGAGTGATTACTAAGTGGGTAAGGTATAGCTGAAGGAGGTGGGTCATTGGGGCTGTGCCTTTGATGTATATATTTTGTGAGCTTAGTCTCTCTCTGCTTTCTGGTGTGATGTTCCCAGTTGCTTTCCTCTGCCACACTCTTTGGCCATGATGTCCTGCCTTACCTTGGGCCCTGAGGAGTGGAGTCAGCCATCTATGGATCCAGACTTCTGAAACCGTGAGCCCCCAGATAAACATTTCCTCCTAATTGTTTTTGTCAGGTCTTTTGGTCACAGCATCAAAAAAGCTGACTAAAACAATATTCAAGCATCTCTACTATTTAGTACTTTTCTTTGAAGTTTAGTTTTGGGATTTTGTTTGTTGCCATAAAGCTTCAGTGAATGCCTTTTGTGCATTTATCATGTGCTTGTGTTTAAATAGGATAGGGCTGGGGTTGTAGTTCAGTTGTACAGTGTTTGCCTAGCATGCATTAAGGCCTAACTTCCATGTCCAGCACCGCAAATTTTTTAGATGTAAAATTATTGTGACAAAGGGAAT